ACCAGCGAGGAAATTGTCGAACGAAAGGAGTGAGTGAATCAAAGTGAATGAAATTTTTCGCTACGATAGTTTGAGACATAGACTGCCAGAAATGCAACCTGACAGTAGACACTGGTCGTCGAGATAAATAAAGCTGACCAGATACTGCCTGGCGCCAAATCACTAGGGATGTGTCAAACGAACGGAGTGAGTGAATCAAAGTGAATGAATATTCACCAGATACTGTCTGGCGCCAAATCACTAGTGGATGTGTCAAACGAACGGAGTGGATGAATCAAGTGAATTAAAATTCTTGCCGCATTGAACTAATACCCATTGAAATCACTATGGCACACTGAACAACAGTGAATATTCGCTAGGTCCTACATTCACTGATAGGGATGACATCGGTGCGGCTTAATGAGCCCCCAATATTAAATTTTGTTCTTCTGCAAATTAAATTCTAGAACATTTTTTTAGCATTAGAAAAATATATAAAGGTGTTTGAAGTATATCTAAGTAAAAAATATGTCCTATTTAGTGTAAATGGGTATGTAAAGGCGTAAAAGGCACCATTCTGCCCGGACCAGTAACGTCTTGTGTAAACAAAGCACGCGCCATTGGGCCAATGATTGACGCCGCGTGATGTGTTGAAAGCGGTCATCTTTTACGAGTTATTAGAAGACTATCATAATCCTCTATGAAACAGATTGTCACTATGGTTATTACTATAACCACCATTAATTTCATTATTGATCACCACAAAATGTAGTGTTTTGGTTAATCTGAACACCGCAATTCGTGGCAGAAGATCATGACCGTGATTGCATTTTTAGGGGCGGATCCGGGAATTTTTGCAGGAGGGGGTTTGGCCGGTACCTGAGACAATGTACCTGACAATGTATATTTGGGGAGATCCGGGGCCCCCTCCCCTGACCTTGAAAGATAGAGAGAGCGAGAGTGTGTGTGTGTGTGTGTGTGTGAGAGAGAGAGAGAGAGAGAGAGAGAGAGGTTTAACGTCCACGTCCACTAGGTCTTTTCGGGACTAACATATCGTTCAATTTATATTTTTATTTCAATAATTCGCTTGTGCCGAGGGGTCTTTAGCAGTGGGAGGACACCGAAGGACCTGGAAAACCCCACGAGGTTGGACAGGTGACCCTACTCCTTGTCACGTACAACCGGGGAATCGAAAACCCGCCAGTTGACTCATTGGCAGACCTTATGATACAGTGCGCACGTGCTAACCATTCGGTCATCCATCCACCATCCACTGTTGTTTACAAAATGTTTATGTTGCCGAGTGGTGCGTGTGTGTGTGTGGGGGGGGGGGTAGATCCTCCCCCCACCACCCTGGATCCGCCCCTGATTATTAAAAGAATTGATGATGAAGTCGACGATGGTTATGATCCGTACATGGTGACACTGATTATACGCAAATCGTTCGAAAATAGGAGATAAGAACAACTCGTGATTCTGTTAATTCCTGTAGATTTATGGGATTCTGGGCGCGAAAGTGGACGCCTAATACAACGATAAAATACAAAAGCTAAAAATCCTTGTAAAATAAAACCTTTTATTCATATTTAAAGATATAAATCGGATATTAATGGTTATGTCCATTTGGTTGGCATGTTATCCCGTAACATTTAAAATTCTATAATTTACAAAACCCCCCAAAAACAAACAAATAAAAAAACCACATAGAAATAAAACATATTTTTATAATGGTACTATTTATCACTAATCAGGCGTGGTATGATATATGTCACGTTTATCATAAAACATATATTATTTCCTCAATAATATGTTCTTAAATTTAAATAAGTACCCCCTTATTTTTTCATGTTTCCTTAAATTCTTAGCTTATATGGATTCAAATACCATTATCATTAATCTATTATTGAAGTTTCCTTAACTTTTGTTGATGGAGCTTCTATGAGCGTTGTCAATTTTTCCTGGTGCATTTAAAATTAAAGATTTCCTTGATTCATTTTAAAATATATCAAAACCTCGAGGGTTTTTGTACAGTACACATTTACTGTGATAAATGCATAGTTAAAGGGAATCTGAAATGTACGACCTTTCTGCACGTTTAGTTCCAGGAATCAAAAATGCTAAGGTGAGTGGACAAAAATGTAACCCACAGTGTGACCACTGACTCTTAAATGTAATTCATGTATACTTTTTTTAAAAATTTGGTTTCTTTAGGAATATCAAACAGTTTTATATAGTCCAACATGGTCATAATTACTTTTTAAAACCAAACAGAAACGCGGCGATTCTGATTCCGTAGTTTTGAACATAGTCCTATATGGAATACCTCCTGTTCTAAATCTACATTTCAGATGTTAAATATAGGAAGAGGTTATTCTGAAGTACAGTCTTTAGGGCTAAGGCGACGTTTATTAGGACACTCTAAAGCGCAAGGAGTGCTTTGCACCTTCAATTGGCTAGGGTTTGGGTCAGGTCATCAGTGCTAAAATATTCACGAGGGAATCGTAATTCACAAATACATGTACAGTACTTACGGGGTAATCGCAATTCGTTATGAATAACTTCGTCCTTAAAAATAAATAGGATTTTCTCAAAATCAGTCATGGAGAACACAAGCGTTATATCATAAATATTAATAAAATCACGCTTTTGAGAAAACGTTCAACTTCAAGATTGATAGGCACCATCTTGCCCTCGGTCCTAAATATTAATGGAAATTTGAGCAAAACCAATTTAAAAAGTTAACTTGCAAAAATATATACAAGTATGTATAGAATGAACAGACTGACGGGCGGAGGACTCGACACGTTATCGCGTGGGTGAATACAATCGTTATTCCACTACGTTGTTTTCGATTAGGACCACAGCAGATATTCCTCCTGTGTGATGTTCTTGTGTCGCGTATTCTGTCTGCGTTTTGCCGTGCATTAATCCCTTTGTTGTCAATTACAACGAAAATAATATGTCTTATTATCACAATTTATGAGACATTTGGGCTATTTTTGTAATGTTTTTTTATTGTTAGTTATATAAAGACTATGGGTATAGGGGGAGTGTCGCAATTTATACTGTTTTAGAAGATTGATTGTAGATAATTACATTTTACAGACTCAGGTCTCAAAATAAATATAGATTTTTAAAGTCTAGAGTAATGTGATCATCATTAAATTGATGTATGGTTACTTCCGATTAGACCATTCTTTGCCATATCAATTCTTTTACATAATAGTTTCAAAATAGATAAAGAGAAATGTGATCATTACATGATTAATGACTACAGTGTATTTCAGAAAAGTCTTATAAAATGGCCTCTCTGTCTCTTTCTTACATAAGCATGATCAGGAAATAATAGAAACTGTAGCTTGAATTACGACAATTATAGATTAATCAGGACTGAGATCACGACGCCGCGATTCTAATCTATATTAAATGAGGTTTAACGTCTCACCTTTCTGCACCACCCAGACTAATGAAGGCGGTGAGCTATAAGGGGAAATTTTCCCCGAACAGCGGCGATATTCCAACTATTCTTCGAATTCCAATCGCTAATAGTTATATTACGTGTTTTCGTCCCATCTGAGCTACCATAGGCACCTTTTCTTGCCAGACCCTACGTCCTACACAACTGATAACCGAAATATTGCAATTATATAAATATAACCCTTTTGGCAGTTGGGACCGAGGCATAGTTGTCTTGTCTATTGGTATGTGTACCATGGGATCAATGAAATAGTTTCCTGGACATTGGCGGTTTGGGCTACGCTCTATCATTTTCATCCCTCAGTTAATAACAGCATCTGAACGACATTAATAACCTAACATTTATCTTTCTCGGTGAATATTTTCTTTTCATATGATACAACTTTTTTTTCTGTCTTCAAAGTATGCAATTATACGGGATGTCCTTTGGCTATGACTGATTGACAGCAACGTACGTCACCACGCCAGTAATGCATCATTATGGTCATCATTGATATTCATAGTTCACAATATAGCTGCCAATAAAACTCGTCCGACTCTTTTCTTTACGAAACTTTGACGTCTATTAATTATGGACTTGTTTTAGGCGTAACGGCCAAAATATCAAGAATTTGGGAATTTTGACAAGGGAGTTTATATCATAAATTATCAAATTACAAGCTTTGAAATTTACGCTGAGTGTTTTAGTAGATATAATCAGAGATTGTGTCAAAATATTGCGACATTTGTCTCTTAAAAAGCCATTTGGTGAGAATGTGATATGATTATAATTTCTTGGTCTGTCCTATAAATCTATCCTACTTACCATTTGTTATACACGAACGGTCACAGCACAGCCTCTTGGTAATATGTTTAATATTCACGAACATTTTATTCAATATAAAAATTAGTTTAATTGCATATTAATGGTGGTGGTGTATTTACACTGAGCAAATAATTTAATATCGAAATCAAATTACACAGAGGCTACATCCACTAAATAATACGTCTTTAAAGCGATAATGTGTTTTCTAAGAAAGTCATAATTATTTAATTTCTTTAACAAAGTAGGACTGTACAGATGCCAAAAATTTAAGGCTTTATTTTAAAACATTTTAAACATGGAAAAATGCAACTATCGCTTTGAAAAAAAATGAGGATGTTGCTTTTATTGGTAAATGGGCGTAGAAACATTTTAAGTGTGTTGCTAATTATCTGAGTAGAGTGATTGTCACTTTTATTGCTAACGTTTCGATTCCCCGGCTGTACGTGACAATGAGTAGGGTCGCCTGTCCAACCTCGTGGATTGCCTCCTACTGCTAAATACCCCTACACGCAAGCGAATTATTGAAATAAAATTGAACCATATGTTAAAACCAAAATGACCTAGTTTGTGTCGGGTGGACGTTAAACCCCATTCTCCTTCTCTCTCTCTTTCATTGCTAACATAGCAAGTATTTTTTGAAGATGGTTCTTCTAGCAATGAACCTGTGAATTACTTGTTTGCCTTCAAATTCATTTTCTGTCATTTCAGTTACAGCAGCCGGTGAGGTGGCATTCAGATTACAAAACCATCGAGAAAAGAAAAGTTTCGCCTCGAAGTCCCACAAGTCCCTTAGGTACAATACCCGAGGACGGTTGGAATGACAACTTTCAACTGAAACATAAACAATTACAAAATTCTCTTTCGTACGTCGACAACATCCATAAAACACCAGATCGACACAATTCGTTATATCCCCTACCGGCGAGATCCAGTGAAAATCTGTTTGGTTCATCGACAAACAGTTTATGTAGTGATAAGTCAAATAGACGCAGAGGAATTAATCCACCCTCACGTAGTCGTTCCGAACCCGATTTGGCAGAAGTCACAGAAAGTCCTGTAAATAACAAGAGACGTAAAAGTGCAGTCCCTGACAGGTTATCCACTAATGACTTTAATTTTGATAATCGAAGCGAAAAAAGCCACCGCAGTGCAAGAAGTGAAAAAAGTACAGCAAGTCTTGCGTCAGCGACTAATAATGAGAGAAAGAAAAGTGTGTCTGCTGTTGACGCCAGACGTCAAAGTGTTGTTAACGGTGCTCCTGGATCACATATACGTCGCAGCAGCGCTGTCAGTAGTAGAGCAGCCTCTATAATATCTTCAGGTTCCGAAAAGAATTTTTCGACACCCTCCCAAACTACTACATCAACACAGTTCGCAAAAATAGAGATTCCTATAGAACTTCTAGAAACACCATCTCTTCGTTTAAAAAAGATGCTAGGACCAGTTATAATGTGTATACTAGCTGTTACACTGGCTGGTAGTCTTGGTATTGCTGTTTATTTTGCTACGGCCTTAAAAGGTAAGTTTCACAATCTGTTTTATAATCTGATCTTTTTTCTAAAAGTAGTAAGTTTAGGTCTGGCATCCTGGGCGATTTGCTTCCAGAACGATCCAGTCTCGTCTCTCTTTGCCGAAACAATATAAACAAGATCTTTAATTCACCATTAGGAGGGTCAGGGGATAAAGTAATGGAGGGTTATATAATGTCAAAAAAGACACCCGGTCAAATCAGGTGAAACAGGTTCAGCTTGAACACCTTCTTGCCTAAAATATTAGCAGATCGTTGGTGACTGAAAGCATATTTGGACCAGTAAAATATCCCAAAGCGCTATTCATCGTGTTATTGTTCTTCTCCTTGGGGTGACGACCTTAGAGAAAAGGCCAAGGCCAAGACTGAAATTTGGCATGCTTGTATGTTCCTTGAACAATTGCGCATCTATTGACAATTCCCGGTTTTGATAGCATGCCCAATTCCAATATGGCGGCGATGTAATGATCGGTTCAAGGTCCATAGTACTTTCGTAGTTGTTATTTATACGCGGGAATAGTCTGTATGATCCTGTGGTGGAATGACAGCAAGGTTGAACAAGTCCCAACTACGTTCTCTGTGTGAATTTGAATACGCATAGACATCGAGAGGGTCCACATGTTAACAAATGTGAAACCAGCTGTACACAGTTCGCAGGAAAGCAATACTTTAAATAAAAGATTATGTATCTATATTAGGACATAGAATAATAATCCCGTGGCCTTAAGTTCTTTGAAGTGACAGAATACAAGGGGGTCAAATTGTTTATTTGTAATTTGTATGAACTTACTTTGTAGTTGGAGAGCATACTAGTTGACATATATTAGACGCAATGGTCTTAAGGGTCACGTTCTTCAATCTGCATAACCAAAGGAAATGTCTTGTCTTTCGACTTCCGCAACAAGGGTCACGACCTCACTAACATTTTGAAAAACTTTTTGAGCTTTCCATTCAGCGCCGATGGTGTACTTTCATTTTTTGGCCATTCGATTGGCCATTTACAAATAATAATAATAATAATAGAAAATCATGGCGTAGGCGGATAAATAAGTGTGGGTGCTTATATAGACACAAAACACACACATTTTTGGGTCAACTCACAGAATAAATTCGATATAAGAAATTGCCCCCCACTCCCTAATTTTATATAATTCCGCACGCCTATACTTGCACTTAGTTAAGTCACGTCGATTTTTAATAAAACATTTTCCCTTTCTGCTAAAAATCAAAACGGAAAATTATCCACATTTAGGAAATGAAAAGAAATGAAATGAAATGAAATGGGTTTAACGTCCTACTGTTCTGCTCCTATACTGGGCTAATGAAGACGGGCATACGTCATACAGTGTGCTATGAGGGAAATTTTGCCCGGGTAGTGGCACTATCGCCTACTCTTATATCGAATTCCAACTGCCAAGGGATCTTTTACGTGCATTCCAATGTATACACGGGACCTCGGTTTTTCGTCTCATCCGAAGGACTAGACAGCTGTCCTTGTCAGGCCCTCCGTCCTGCATCACTGACAAGGGGGAACCACGCCGGAAAATCTGGATGAACTTTCTCGGCCAATGCAGGGATCGAACACCCGATCTCCTCCACATTTAGGAAAGAAAAACCTAAAATTGTTTACCGCTCCTAGACGGATTATTGAACTTATCTTTGACGGCGATGTTTGTATTTAAAAATACAGAATCATTATTAATAAAGTCATTAAACTACTAGCGTGTTTGATTTTTCATGTTAAACATGCACATCATATTCTGTTATTTATTGTAACATCAAAATGTCAGTAGCAATAACAACATACACCAAGATAATTAAGATACGGGTATCTTTTTTATATACACATAAACAAAATGAAGTCTTTTAAATTTTAAAAAAAAAACCCAATAAAACAAACGCCTTTGGCTATTAAAAGAAAGGCATGGGACAAGCAGTCATGCACCAAAATGTGTTTCTTATCTTAATTTTTCTCTGTCACAATGTTACGGATGGTATTTTCCTTGCACTTTTTATGTAACTTGCTATATAATAAGGATGTCTAAGATAATTTCATACTTTCTCACACTTGTTTTAATAATGTTGCCTTTATCTTATAGTGTATTACATATTACTTATGAGCATCTTCAGCTGTCAGCGTTTGTCACATCTCGTAAGATCTAGCATGTTACGTGATAATGGTGCTAATTAGTAGTCAACGTGTAGGATCAGAACTTGTTGAATTCATACATTGTAACGTAACAAATAGATAGGGATGTAAGTAATACCCCTGAGGCATGCCAATTTGCACGAGCATTAAACCGGAATTTGTAACAGACTGGCGTTATTGCAGTTCAAACTAGGCTTACGTAGATTATTTGAATACACATAAACCTATAGACATATTAAATTAACATACACGAGAGACAAGTTTACAGAAAAACAAAAATATTATGAAATTGAGGGGATAAGTTACCCCCCCCCCCCCCGAAATAGCAATTAGTTAATTAATCTATATATTTGATCCTGTTTATATTTTTCAGATACCCAAGAAAAACAGATAGGTAAGTTGTATGGTTTATTGTCAACATCATAATAATTCTATTTAGCAATTAACAAACTTTTTTGTATGGGTAGAATAGATTTCTGGCACATGGCTGGGAATAAAAAGCCAGATCATTCCCATATATCTCAAAATGTCAAGGCTATGTATTATTTTAATATAAAGACTATTGTTATTCTATAATTATACAACACCCGAATATAAAATAAACCAGCACTGGTTTCCGAAACGCATAAAATTATTATTAATCTATTTGTCGAAAGACATATAAATATGGCTATGTGAACTTAATAAAAAAAAAAAAAAATGGGTTTGACATGTTGGAACTATAAAATGGTCAATTACTTTCTTGGTCGTGGACATATTGTTTATTATCTATCATAAATAAAATAGAACATGTATGTAAGTCTCCATAAACCATTTGACGTATCTATTATACATTGTCCATCGTCAAATATAGATACCAGAAAGAACCACATGAATACATATACTTATTATAGTGTATTGGATCACAGACCTTAGTTCATTGCATAGCTTTAAACGTGTGAATGCATCAGATAACGTTAAACAAGGGATGGCACCAATAATATTACACGATTGGGCAGACCAGCAGCATTACATGTGAGAACACACCGACAAAATTACACGTAAGAACACGCCAATAACATTACACATTAGTAAGGACACACATGTTACACAACGTCAAGGCTGGGATCATTAAATTACAAATGTAATTAATTACATTATCAATACAACGACTTTTTAAATGTAATCATAACAATTACCTTTAAATGTAATCACTACAATTACCTTTTAAATGTAATCATTGTAATTACTTTTTAAATGTAATAACTATAATTACTTTAGTTAACTCTATCAATGGCTATGCGTTTTTAGTATACCTTTATGTAATCACTACAATTTCCTTTAAATGTAATCATTGCAATTACTTTTTAAATGTAACAACTATAATTACTTTAGTTAACTCTATCAATGACCATGCGTTTTCAGTATAATCCGGATCTTTCGCAGAATCATATTTCAAAATTTGAACACCAAAACCAATTTCAGTTTTCTGTAGGATATACATGTATTCATAGAAACGATGGAACATGGATCAAGATTTACAAGTAAATTTCTTTTTTTTCTTCAGATTTTCTACATGCTCATTTTGAGATGTCTATACGAAATCAAAATATAAATCAACTTTCATTTCGAGAAAGAGAAATCTTAGCCGTGTCATACTGTAAGATGGTAAGTTTTTAAATAATGAAATTTGATAGACCTAAAATATCTTAAAATCCTTAAATTTTTAAAAAGCTCAGTGATATCAATAGTGGACTTTATATTTGTAAGATGACCAGGATAACCAATGGATTTTCAGGCTTAAAGGAAGTTAATAGTTGGCGAATTTTAGAAATGTTTTCTACTTTCATTTTCCAGATGGATAAGTTTTATACAGTCAGTGAACTAAAGAAACTGTACCGCGGATGTGAAGTTATCTCACTGAGGTGAGTAACTAAATTATTCAACATACTTTCACATCCGTATTTATAAATACATGTACTATGTTACAATGCAAATCACTTTGAGTAGAGTGTAGTATGACTAAACTATCGATCTATCTATGTCCGTCTCAATCCTGTATTAATTATGCTAATATTACCTATTTCTTATTAAAAAGTGATATCTGGTGTCACTTGGTTATATGCTAGAGGCATATGTATTCATATAGATTAACAGTATTGGTTAATTCGCGCATTACTCGGAAAGAGTAGAATTGAGATCGCATTTTGGATAACATATGTCTGCCTGGAAACTGAATTGTGAAATTTATATTTTTGTAGCAATTAATGTTTTTGTTGTTTTTCCGAAACAGATGACAAATACAAAAATAGATACAATCACAGCACAAATGCCTCAGGACAAAAATTAAAGTTCTCCTTATAATGTTCAGTAATTTCACAATATTATAAATCATTGAAATTACTTGTCCTGGAGGTTTTTACATAGTAGACATTGTTTTGAATGATTTTGTTATTGTAATGTCAGCTTGTATCGTCAAGTACTAACCGATTGACATGTTTGCCTAATTATATGGTCGTTCACATTCACATCCACCAAGGCCATTAATCATGAAGAATTAACTTTCTTAAAAAAAAAACGATTGTAAAGCTTCTCTGTGGGACTTGTACAAAAAGTACGCAATGTAAAACAATATAGATAGTATATCATTATAAAAAATTAAAATTAATGCTAAACTATTCGGCCTATCGGTAATAATTCTTAAAATTCATATTCTAAAAGATATTTTTTTAAAAGTGAATGAGGTCCCAGGTATGTATTAAATAAATGAAAATGTTTCCAATTGTAGTGGTTTTCATAAACTTCCTCCATTTTCAGAAACGATAAAATCAACTTTACTTTATTCTTCACCGAGTCTGGGCCTGCTCCAGAAGATGCTATTATGCAGGTTATACAGGATTCAGCACCGACCGTCAGTGCACCAGGTAGAGCTGAACCTCTAGTTATGGTTGATCAGCTCAAGGTTGATCTCACGACGGCTAAAATTAAACTCGAAACGAAGAAGGAACCCGAGAACTTTAGTAAAATCATTGTTGATAAGGAAATTGCTGCTGCTAAGAATGTATTAACGCCAAACCCAAGGAATATTGTAGACTCTGTTGGCGATAGCTCTGCACAACTGACAGTATCCATAGAAACAACCCCGGCCACGACTTCACCAACCTTTAGCACAACGACTTCATCCATTACAACAACCGTTTCTACCACCACAATTAGTCCGACTACGACTACAACCACGGCTCCTCCAACGTCGACTTCAAGCCCGGCTTTACTTGCAGAGAAATATGTCAAATCTACTACTAGGTCTACCAACTTCACAACAACCTACAATAAACAACCAACATGTTAGTATTCTTTTACATTTTCAAAATTCAAATTAAAGTGAATCCCACAACCCAATACAATATATATTTTAATCGAAATTCACCATTTTTTACCTCTGCGAATGTGAAATAGAAATTGAGAAATTTACAGTTAGTTTAGGCTTAAAAACTAATTTGACAATATTGGACGTTTCGACAATATCGGTGAGAAAAAAACCATAAAGAATTTAAATTGAAAAGAATATATACAACGATACTCGTGCTTTATACAGAGTTATTCTTCAATCGTATCCAATTTCATAGGGGGGGGGGGGTCGAATGGTTAGCACGTGCGCGCTGTATCATAAGGCCTGTCATTGAGTCAACTGGCGTGGTTTCGAATCCCCGGTTGTACGTGACAAGGAGTATGGTACGCCTGTCCAACCTTGTGGGTTTTCTCGGGGTCCTCCGGTTTCCTCCCACTGCTAAAGACCCCTACGCGCAAGCGAATTATTGAAATAAGATTAAACCATATGTTAGTCCCGAAATGACCTAGTTTGTGTCGAGTGGATGTTAAACCCCATTTCTCTCTCTCTCTCTCTCTCTCTCCAATTTCATAGCCATTCCTATTCCTAATCAATTAAGGGAACCACGGTTGATCAGTGGGTAAGGTGTTAGCTCTCTAACCAGGGGGTTCGGGCCCATTATTTGTCGGTAAAGTTCCCCGAGATTTTCCAGTGTAATTTCCTCTTGCCAGTAGTGAAGGATGGAGGGTCTACCAAGGAACAGTATCTAGTTTTTCAGATGAGACGAAAAATAAACCGTGACAGCTGGAATTCGAAATAAGTGTAGACGGGGATGAAAGGGCCTGTTCACGTAAAAGACAAAATTTCCCCCAATGCACACTGCATGGCGTATACACTTCTTCATGAGACAAAAAATAAACCGTGACAGCTGGAATTCGAAATAAGTGTAGACGGGGATGAAAGGGCCTGTTCACGTAAAAGACAAAATTTCCCCCAATGCACACTGCATGGCGTATACACTTCTTCATTATCTAAGACATTAAAACCTATTTTATTTCATTTCTAATCAACCAATAACTAAGGTTGAGGTTATTCCCCTTGTTGTGGGTATTACACACGAGCGTAACGTATCTAGTAGGATTATATTATTGTCTTTCTGTGATCTGAATTCATGTTATCCAAATTAATAATTTCAGCACCAGAACCACTCAATCCATGCGAGGGTAAAAATGGAGGATTCTACCCTCACCCGACTGAATGCAACTTATATTATGAATGTCAAAACGAAGTTTCAGTTCTATTATATTGTGGCCAGGTCATGGTGTTTGATTTTAATTCCAAAGTGTGTGTAGTGAAAACAGCTGATAGTCTTTGTCCTAATATAACGCATTATGTAGGTGACATCAGTTCCAGACATGTAACCAATACAAGTATTATATTACCCGGTAAGAATTCTTCTATTACAACCATTTCTTCTTGTGATTATTTGTGTTTTTATTCCGTATTTCAAAAAAATTATGATACATATATGTCATACATATATAACTTTTTAATCTCATGCTTTCTGATTGGTATAGCAACTACCAATTTATAATGGTTAATACATGGTATCATGGGTAAAAGATCATATGAGATATGGTACTAATTAGGGGGCCAATTCATTAAAGATGCAAATTCCCATATCAACTTAGCGTATATTTTAGTAGAACACAGCCACGTTACCTGCCCATGACAATAAATTCTGTTTTATCCGAAATTTTCTGTTTCTCTACTTTCTGCATTATCTATGTAACGCATTTCCCACAAAGGAAATTAATCTCCGCAAGGATTTTGGGCAAAATAAAAGAATAAGTATAAGTATTCTAGTTGCCAATTCAGTTTTATTAGAGACATGCTGTGCTAAAATGATCGTGAGCATATACTATTGTTACAGGAATAAAATAAGCATTTCGTAACATTTTTGTGCGCACTGACTACGAAATATTAGAGGTACATGACTGTAGTAGGCCCATATTTTATATATTTATATTTATAGTATATGAATGGAATCCATGTGCTAACAACAAAGGAGATTATTTTCCACATCCAGTTGAATGTAATCTCTTCTTTCAATGTGACCATGGTAAATCTGTATTAAGATTATGTCAATCTGGACTACTATACGACTGGGAGACTAAAGTGTGTTCTAGACAGTCAGATCAAGTTACTTGTCCAGATCCATCTAAAGCACCACCACGACCAGAAGATACATTTACAGTAGCACCACCCAGTATCACAACTAAAAATACCTCTAAAAACTTATATCCTACAAGACCAGGTAAAAACCGTATTTCACGTATGTATATAGTGTGTAAGAATATAAAATGATTTTTAAATATCTGAAATGATACCCTTACGGATAACCATTATTGATATCAAATCCAAACAATGCCGCGTTCAAACAAAATTCCAAACAGTAAAAGAGGGAAAACCGAGAGTAAGGAATTGTAAGTCAAACAACCATATCGTTAAATTTACATTATTTCGTTCTTTTTTTTTAGCTTACAGTAGGACACCGTGTAAAACAAGTAAAGATGGTAATAACATCTTCCCACACCCTGATGATTGCAATCTATATATATTCTGTAATGACGGCGTAGAGAATACAATGACTTGTGATGATGGCTTGGTATTTGACCCGGAAATCACTACCTGTCGAAAACCAACAACAGAATTACATTGTCCAGATTTAACACCGTGTAAAGGAATGGATTTGGGATACTACCCACATCCTTTCGACTGTTCAAAGTTTATCATATGTGAAACAGAAAAAGAAGTTATTCAATCATGTCTTCATGGCCTTGTTTGGGACCCGACCAAAAAGAGCTGTACCCTTAGAACGGAGAATAGTATCTGTCCGTAATTGATCAGATATTTGTCTTAGTTAACAATGTATTTGTTGGTGATTGGTTTTCAAATGAGTCGTCAACATTGACTAGTAGTGTTGTTTACGCAGACTACATATTTCTTGAATGGTACAGCTGGGGACGTAGCAAAATTTTAAAACAATCTATGTTAAAATGGTGTTTGGGGCAGTATGAAATGAACAGCAGTGATTTGTCAAAATTAACAATAGCTCAAGTTTGCTTTTTTTTATGGTGACGATATAATTTCAGTGAATATATGCAGTGTCGTAATTAGCTCAGAGGAACGAGACGGGAGGGAATTGTTCTCATGGGTGCTGTAAAATTGACGGACAATGTATATCTAGGTTTTTTTTTATGGTCAACATTTTTTTCACGGGGAGGGGGGTAGAAGCGAAACTTTTTGCCCCCCCCCCCCCACTAGTTACGGGCCTGGATATGTGATGTTTGTACCCCTCTCTATACATGATAATACTCTGCTTGGTGAAGATACTGGCTGTTAATGCATTTATCGAAACAAGGGGAAGCGACTCTGGTATGTCTAATAACCCTTCAACATCTGTACATATATAACTTTATTGTATAATGCATATATTATAGCTTGTTATTTATATTATAGACATGGACAATGCGACTCAGTTTAAATCCCGGTTAAATATTTATTATTATGACAAATCTGGATAGTTGAAATGTAATATAATAAAAATGTTCCTTCCCCTGATCTTGGCTTATGACAGGTAGTCTGGTCAATGGGGATAATAATGACACTATGCTCTTACGGTGTGTTAAACTTACATCATGTATATTGCATCGTATTGTAAAGATTGTTATTATTTGAATATATTATGAACGGCATTAATAAATGTCTGTGTAAATTAAAATATGTTAGAAATGGATATATTACTACACATAATAACTGGGGGAAAATGTATTAACTGTATCACAATTTATGAATTATATAATTTCTGTTGATCAGATCTGACAAAAATTCTCTAAATAAAGTTAAGACTATATTGTTTAAAAACAATTAATCGCCAGGCTGATTTTGGAAAGACTGGATAATTATAATTTGTACATGATGTACTGGTTTTAGTTCCACAAATACCCCCACCCCCCTGATCCTACGTAAAACCATATGTTCTCTTTTTTCCCGGAGAGGGACGGGACAGAAGAAGTTGCAAATAAAACCCAACGATAAATCTTTCCCATTGAAGTAATCATTTTTTTTTATCGACTGGATCTAAAAGCGGCCTCTTATCAAATCATCAAAGGTAGATACGCCAACGCTTATGGGGTACAAGTACATGACTGTTGTGCTTAATTTGTCTATATCAAAACTGCAGATAAGGGGTTTCACTGCTGTTTTTCGTTTCCGTAAGAAGGGTTCAGTGGAATTGGGATTCACCAAATACGTCGTAGCTATGTCATCCTCCAGATTTCTCTTGGGTTCCTTGACTTCTACCGTGTGTGTACCTTTATGTCGCACCTTTCGCTTCCAACTTGGTTTCCGGTCAAATTAATTTCCAAATTGCTATTCATGCATGTTTCTGTTATCGATTTTGCATAGTTGCCGTTTTTAGAATAAATTATATGTGGTTCAAATTTGTATTGCACCAGATCCATGTTGGTCTTTAATCAACTGTACCAGCAGCTTCCATGTCTGGAATTCAAATAATAAATGATAACAGAAATTTGTGAAAGCCGGGGTTGATAGAGGCGAGACACAATCAGTTCTGACAATCCCTATTACATGTATATATACAAGTAACGTTTCAAGTATGATAAGACTGGTCCATCGAACTTAAAGTATCCATAAATACATTAAGGTCTAATTTGGTGTTTATCTTTGATCCACCATATAGCAATAGCTAGAGGCATTTCCAATAGGCATTTAACCACAAATATGTACACGTCATTTCGTATAGGCCATTAAAACTCCATCATACCACAATAAAGATTAAATAAGTAGTTTAAGCAAGTAGACAAACAAAAATAGTTTCTATTGATTACAAGCGGCCATCTTTATTTAGGTAAATACTAATCATATGATATGATTTTTTTATTCTGATATGTGCTTATAAGTACATACAAACACCAGTCTTTACACTAAATAATTATATATAATTATATATTTTTCGTTTCATATCTTCAGTTTTATTGACAAGGCCCCTTGATATATATTTTAGGCATAATACTAAGCCACAGCTTAATGATATTTCAAAAGAAATCATTCATTTACAAGGATCTGCTCTTGTCAGTGGTGCAGCATTGAGGATCTGGCATGGTAAAGTGTCTAGTCATTTGGATGGGGCAACTGAGGTTCCGAGCTATCGGAGTAGGGAGAGAGAGAGAGAGAAATGGGGTTTAACGTCCACTCAACACAAACCAGGTCATTTCGGGACTAACATATGGTTTAATTTTATTTCAATAATTCGCTTAGCAGTGGAAGGAAACCCCACTCCTTGTCACGTCTTCATTAGCCCAGGTTGGAGATGAACAGTAGGACGTTAAACCCCATTTCATTTCATTGTCTAAAGTCTGTTACGTCTGATTCCAATTTCTAACTCAGGGGCAAATAACTCGTCTGAAACCGATTCTCTTTCAGTAGATATAACAATACCAAGGTGAGAAACAGATTGGAATTAAAGTTCACTACTCTAGATTCCATCAACCAGTGTCAATACTGATTAATTTTCGCTAGGTAGACACGAGTCTACGATTACGTTTAAAAATTGTCTACGTGACCCTAGTGCGTCCCCTATACGAACCCTTACAAGGGATATAACTCTTGCGAACGTAGTCAGGTTTCAGACCAATCTAATTCAAAAATTCAAATCATCGGGTTGTCTCGGTCACCCAGAACTTGACCAAACCAGGAGTTTGTTTTTTTAATGTGGATTATGGCCACAGATCACTAAACATTTGCCCATTGACTTTAATGTTAATTCTCGTCTCTTAGACCGGCTCTAACTTTTTCCCCAGTTTTCGTTGGGTAGAACGCTTTCTACCACAAATGGAGCAACATGTGGCAACCTCTTGCCCAAAAGCACGTATGAGGTTCACCATGAAAAACTTGAGATACACAAGCTGGAAGTAGAGACAAGAAAACATGCAATTTTGGACCCTACATTTCAACCTAACCAACCTCTCAACTCTTGTATTCTTCCGCCTCAAAATCATGAATATTCACCAAAACCTGGTAGAAAATGTATTTTCAAACCCTTTTCTTCGATTCTACACCAAAAAGTCAACAAAAATCGTCATGCAAAAAGGGGAAAAAGGGAAAGGGAGAGAAAGACTAAAAATAACTTTCGCCCTATTTGGTGAGCTGTGTCCTTATTAAAAATAGCCAGTATTTGTCGCCAAGTCAAGCAAGAGTTGAGCCCCTTCCCGCAATAAATCCAACAATTCTTGCATTATTAAAAACAAACAATGAATAGTGACGACGAATTAGGGTTAATTAATAAAAATCCATATCTATGGATTTTTTGAGAAATTTTTCAATAGAAAAAAATTAAGAGTGTTGGATATTGAACTGGCAATGTTATCAAATGGATTTTCTGAAATGGCATTCTTAAATTAATTTCATGGGCGTCGACATCTTGGTTTAGGACTAGTTACTTCCAACAAACTTAGTTTATGATAATGTGAACGACCGGGCCCCGAGTCCAAAAAAGTATTCTCAGACTTAAGTTAAGAATTTACTCAAAATTATTCGCCTTATTTTAACATAATATATAGGCCTTTATAAAACTTTTGTTGTTTTAATGTATCAAATACATCAATAAGAAACTAAGTGCAAAGTTTGGTGTTTCTGGATCAAAGATATTTCTCATAAACTGTGATTGAAACTTGAGTAAATTCTTAACTTAAGTCTGAGAATGCTTTGTGAACTTGGGGCCTGATAATGTAGCTAATGCTCAAATGTTCGTAGAATTTTTGCCTGGATGATAGAGACTAATTATCGTGTATTAACAAAATCAGACGACAACAGCAACACAAACCACATAACACACACAAGTTTATTTATACAATTTGTCAAATCAAATTAACAGGAATCATATATTTGAACAATTGTGATACAGTTAATTTATTTTTTTTTTACCAAATGATTTATTAAAATAAAAAATATCTTCATCTATTTCTCATATTAAGGATTTATTTTTTTTACAATTTCAATGGTCAATAATTATTAATATTCCCAATTTATCAACAATAAAACATTGCAATCAATTAAAATATCTTCATATATTTCGCATATTAAGGATTTATTTTAATTTCAATAGTCAATAATTATTTATATTTTCAATTTATCAACAATAAAACATTGCAATCAATTACACTATGTTTTAAAAGCTTTATATTCAAATTCGGACAATTCTAGTCTGGATCCCACCTCTTCCCTATAATGATAATAATAACAATTTTAAACGAGAAACCTAATCCAATGTAATATTAGGCGATTTGTTACCTCTTCCGATGAGGATACGTTTTAAAGGACAAATGTAGAAACAATGATGTTATAGATCGTCTAAATATTTTTTTTTATCATATTCAATTTAATCAAAGCCATTTTATATCACTCTATAATTTCAACCTTTCTAAGACACTTGCTGTAAGGATTGCGAGCTGAGGTGTGGACTGAAGAGTTATCTGACTATTACCCCATTGATACGCGTGTAAAACCCCCCGGCCTCACTATCCATTTCCTATTAAACGACTCAATGTCTGGGTCTACAAGTCACCGAGTTGCGAATGATCTCCACTAACGATTAGAAACTGCGTCTTGTTTCAATTTGTCTGCGATATCACTTCGGTGGAAATTGACGTATAATAAAGCTATTTCACACACTCAATCAGAAGCAGTATAAGTATAAGGCAGATCTTCACTGTCTAAGTGCTCGTTGACATTTGAGTCCTTTTCCAAAGTCAATCTTAATTAATTTAAAATCGCTGATCGTCATGTGTATGTTTTGGACAATATCTAATTTTTTAACAGCTTAATCCACACCAAATATACTCACACTCAATATCTCCAACTTTCACAATATTAGAAGGGAATTACAATTTCTCAAATGGCGACCAGAAACTTTAATGGCTAATCAATATACGTGTTTATTATATTATAATATAAAGTATACATGCAAAATATAAATCATAATATAAATATCATCATCTATTCGTATTCTTATTTACATGGGTATTACAAAACATGACTTTAAATTTAGTATTTTTCTCAAAAGCAATCTATACTCCCAGGATTAACGAACATATACTATACAAAGACAAACACTAGATAATTCTACACACATAAGTATAATTAAATTATTAAATACGCGGCACTAATTGATTCCAAAACATAAATAGTACAACGTGTAAATTTATTTCTATCTTTGGTAAATTTATATTTTTAAAAATCACGATGATACTGGAGATTCGTTATTTGATTGCAACACATATTCAGAATGAGTTTGATTCTCTAGAATCCAAATCTGTTTCCAGATTCAGGAACACAAACAAAAAGTTTTGCAAAATCGGCCACCCTTCTACATCATCATATGGACTGATAGATGCGTATATTTGGATTCCGATTGCATGTATTTATCGAAAATGGAAGAATGGATTCTGAATCTTTATTTTTCATAAATTCAGCAATAGACAAATAGTGATTGCCAGTTTCAAGCCAGTAGAGCCCCGAAAAAACTGTATTATTATATATTGTTACCAAACTTTCATAATTACTTGCTACTCACAAAACTTTTGTTTAGTAATTCATTACATAAAAACGCATGAAAAATTCGAACAAATTATGACACATTTTTCTACCGGAGAGACAATTCAAACATGGATTATTTTTATAATCGGCAGACGAATCCAGGAGGTTTATTGACGCAAACAGATAGGTTTGGGTCAAATCTGGATCCAGCTGCACACTGAATCGCCACACCCTGTTCACCAGTACACATGTAAAATTGGTCACAATCTGTCGGGTGGGGTACAAATATCGAAACACTTCCTGCACACGGGTTGCCTGCTGAAAGAGATAATAGAAAACATACAATAAAGTAAAATTAAATTAAAAGTCTGGAAAAGCAAAGGTGTTTCTAACTGTTAGAACTGGAAAACTCGCACAATTATTAGCCGAGACAATATTTATTAATACAAAAAATGGTTACTAGTGAAAAGGAAATCAAATGGAATGGGTTTTAACGTCCTACTGTTCTGTCCCGACTGGGCTAATGAAGACAGGCACACGCCATGTTGCCAGGATAGCGGAAATACGGCCTACTCTTATATCGAATTCCAATTGCCAAGGGTTCTTTTACGTGTACGTCAATGTATACACGGGACCTCGGTTTTAGGTTTGATCCGAACGACTATACATTGTCCCCTGTCAGTCCATCCATACTGCACCACTGACAAACGTGAACCACGCCGGAAAAAATATCGATGAACGTTCTCGCACAACACAGGGATCGAACACTGGACCTCCAGGTTAGCGGGACAGAACTTGCTCACTGAGCCACCGGAGCTCCTATTAGTAAAAGGAGAGAGGATGTTTACTCAGCTGGATCGACTATTTTACTTTAATTTTAACATCGTTTAATGATCACCATGGTCTTGTTATTGTTTAAGTCATTTCTTACAGTCTAATTTTGCTTGATGTCGCCGAATTCGTGCACCGGACATTGTGTATAGGCCTGTTTAGCAGTGCTGGGGTTAGTTGAAGGGACGTCCTAGACTGTTCTACTGTTTAAGACATTGACATGCTATAGCAGTCATATGGCAGTTTCAAAACCATACCATGACCGGAGGCCCCATAAATGTTACACCCTTTTTTTTCAGTCCGCTTTGAAAATAGGTCAATCCGGCACAGCTGATTGGGATCGTCTGTGCTTGTCCTTCATCTATTCAAAAATAGCTATATGCTGTCATATACTTACGAGTCAGTGGTTGTGGCGTAAATTGATTTGGAAATGGTTGAGTAGGTAGTGGGAATTCAGTGACAGGTCCACCAGGGAATGTAAAAGGTGAACCAGTTACTGTTCTCTGATCTACAGCCAATGACCTTTCATATATGCCAAGGTTTCCTACAACTAGAGCTATCTGGTTGTTGATGACAGTCCTTGGTGCCTTTTCGATCAACATGCCAGTAATAAGGTCTTGGAGATTTTCAGGTTGAGCTCCTACAAATCTCAAGTTGAATTTGACTGACACTGGATTGTTCCTGAAACAGAAATAAATCACAGATAGTATTAAAATTTGTTTGGTAATATTTTAATTGAAGATTTAGTCAACGACTACATCTATTCGGTGAACTAAGTTGTTTCATGGATTCTTATAAAACACAGCGTAACTGTTACTGATATAATATAATCCCTCCTGTTACAGGAATAATCTTTGAGTGGCATTTAGCGATCGGGAAACGTATTAACAGAACACAGTTTTTGTTGGATACAATCCCTAGTTTTATTCTAAAAGCACGGCGTTTCGACAAGTATCCTCTTTTCGTTATCCTATAAAAACTGTGTTCTGTTAATGTTACAGGAATGTTTCAATCAATTTTTGCAACGCCGAAAGTTTCAAACCAAAAGGCCATGTTTTGATAGTTTTTGAAGGATCGTTTTGAAACTTTTATAGTTATGAAAGATAGCGTTATCAATGTTAAGACCGTTTCATTAAGTTCAAAAATTAGACACTATGATTGGATAATCATGATGTCTGTAAGTATTTGGGGTATCATTTTGAAACATTGTATACATATTATTAAAGATTTGCATTTCCATTTTTGAGAATGCTGCAGAATTTGTTGTAAGTGTTTTACTGTTTAGCTTACTCAATATTCCCTCTTAAAGATACATTCCCGGGTACAAACTGGGTGATTTGATGATATATTTAGACTAAATACATATTCAAACTAATTAATTTATCATAATTGTGCTTCAAATCCTTCTCAAAACATTGCAATTGTCGGGGAATACCCTGGCTATAAAAATCGTTCAAAACAAGTCATGTTTGTGTCACGTGACTTACCTCTCTCGGTACCTAGCGACGCAAGCGAAGTCGGAGGAGAATTCATTGCATACACAAGACGATGTTGTCTTTAATCGCTGACTATTTATTACAAATATCGAAGTCTAATTAAATTTTCGGATTATCCACTGCTCGCGTCTTTTTCCGTGATTTTTTTTTTATCTCAGAAAGTGTTGTGGGTCTAATTCTTCATAAAGTTTATCAAAATGTACATCAAGCGCTAGATCTGCGAGTGCAACGGTCGACGTCAAGCGCGCAGACACTCCTACATTTTTGTCCTGTATGCGCTCCATGAGTGTGTTTCATGGAATCCAGTATTTTTCTAGTAAGATTGGATATTTCTACTTATCATATATACCAAAATCGCCATACTTTTATTTGAAATAACCACCCGATAAATACTTTTCTGGGAACGTAGCTTTAACTCTAAAAGTTTAGCATAGTCGCCATTTTGGATTTTTTTTTTTAAGTTTCATTGCTTTGTATAAGGAAATGCCATACCTCTTTAAACGACTGCTTCAACATGGTTTAATTTCACCTTTAATATCAACGTTTCTTAACGGGCATATTTTGGTGTTGAATTTATATTAAAATCCAGATAAAATGAATACTTACAAAAATTGTTCCACTGTACATTGGTCATAATTTGGGAATCGATTTCTTTCAGTGAAAATTTGATCCAACTAAAAATAATGTTTAAAAATTATAATTATAATATTAGAAAATTATGAAGGCTGTGGATTTATTCTTGGGAAATAAGACACCGGCCTCTAGAGAGATTAATTGCGTATCGGTCTATTATATTTTCAATGTATATAACTTAAAACGTAAACATTATAATGGCTAACAATTTTCAAATCGACGATGCATCATTTGTACTTTTTTGTTAATCCACGCTAATATGTACTCAGATAAATTATTTAACATTTAATTTAAAACAAGATCAAACTAAAGATGCTATATAATCCCCCGGCTTGAATTGAATCGGATTCAGAACATGCTTATTAATTCTGTTCGCACCACAACAAAATGGCGGCAGACTAATTGCATAACGAGTAGATCGATGGAATCTCAATCCAACATATCTTTGTAAATACTGAACGGAATTGAACCCTTTTCGGACAAGGGATTCATATTGCGCCAGAATGACACAATCAGACTTAAGTTATGGTCATTTAAAGTTTACATTAGTTTCTATACAACGCCATATAAAATAATGGTAATTTTGCTCAATTTTTTTGTACAAGTCAACTTGTTCTCAATTCTCTCATGTTGTGATGTACTATCCTATATAATGTAAACAATGATTTTATACTACAATTTTACGGATTTTGACATATTATTTGAGAAAGACCTGTCTTGTACTTTTACGTATTAGAATAGGTAATATACTTACATAAGAACAGAATGGGCTGGCATACATATTGAACAGTGACGATGAGGAATCAGCCAGTGCAGGAGTATATGTCAAATTCAACACATTGAAGGATATGTGAAGGAAAGTGCTCACTTCTGAAAGTTAAACACAAATATCCCCATGTAGTAATAGTAATAATCCGCCTTTACATTAATTGTGGCCTAAAAGTTGATGAATATTAGGAAAACCCAGAATGCGGAATGATAACAAACATAGCAAATAGTTCGACGTAAAGGGCGTAAAATAACTCAGCACGTTAATGGGCGTGTGCAGTGGTTGGGGGTGTCTTAGTCAACGGGTACACGGGACAATACAGGATATTTAAGTTTTTATCATATCCACTAAAACCTAATCCATTGTCAGAGCTCCAGTATTTGAAAAAATGTAAACGGGGGAAAAATAATGTTAACTTACGAGGTGGGGTCGTCGGTGGAAGGGTTGGTAACGTCTGTTGGTTAGTGAAACGAATGTATCGAACATTTCCTGTTGTGTTAGCATAAACAAATAAACCACCAATGTCTAGCCAACCGATTCCATCTATTACTTTAAACGGAGCTTGTTGGTATATGACGTCATAAACTAATGGTCCACCTACATCTGTAGTTCCATCTAGAACAATGTTTACTACCATATCTTTGTTGTAGTAATCCCTGCAAGAAAGAACCATTTGGCATTGAATTGGTAACTTTTGGATGAGAGTAATATTTTATTTTCCCAGTCTCGATCCCAGGTGAATTATTCAGTAGCTTGGGTTCAGGACCATAAACATTTTTATGGACAACCAGTTAAATCGATGGTCTATTTGGATCCATGAACAGTAACATTTTATGAACAACTAGTTAAAGGGGTGGTCTTATAGGTTTGGTAAAGAATTTTGAAGATATTTATGGGCATCCAGGTAAAGAGATGATCTACAAGTTGGGCCCCCGAATCATTAACATATTTATAGGAACAGGTCATGTCCAACCTGTTAAGTGATGATCTATAGGTTAGTCCCAGGATCTTGAACATCCGTTTGCTCAACCAAAGATTTTGTAAATCCATCCGCTTGATGCTAGGGTGCAACGTAGAATATGAAATGTTACCCGTTCCAATGTTATTACCGCCTAGAAGGTGATAATCATAACGAAATAAATCGACCTATAACGGGGTAAAAGGCAACCACTTTCCAGAATATGCGTATCTTATGGTATGATGCGTATGTTTTAGGCTCGGTTATCCATTATATCTTAAAATATTTATTTCTTCTTGTGGAATCATATCAACAGTATGTTTCGTTAGGGTTATGGTTATGACTCTATAACAAAAGTCCCGTGTTGGCCTTCATGGACCCCATAATGGGAGTCTTAAATTTACCGAACGGGCTATCGCCTACCCGCTTATAAGTCGATTTATTTCGGTATTATTAACCCCTTCTAGGCGATAATAATATTGGATCGGGTGGAAATTTAATAAAAAATATTGCTATTTTCCCACCGACATACTAAATCCACGCAGTCCAAAACATGAGTTGAGTGTTGCATCTTTTGATAACTCTTCGGTTGAGTAAAAGGGAGATTATAATATGACTATGGTCTTATTACAAGATCAAAGTAGTGATTTCAAATATTCATTCCTGATTATCAAACAAGTTAATCTTAAATACTTACCCGAATTTTTCAACATTGCAGGCGTAATACCGTTGATTTAAAAAATGTTGTCTGAAATATCTATCCACCTGGAAAACAAAAAAGGAAATTGAAATAATTTTGGACAGATTTTCGGCAAGATGCTTTTTTTCGTGGACTTTAAGATGTCATGCTTCATTATTTTTGTTGGAGACGATGCGGGCGATCTCGGCTTCGCAGTCAGTTTTGGCCCAGAATGTTACTCGGAATTTTCCGGAGGGGTATGCAATGGTGCAGAACAGGGGACCTATCAAGGAACAGTGTCGAGTCGTTCGGATGTCAAAAGACCCCTTGGCAGTTGAAATTCGAAATAAGAGTAGTCCGTTTAGCACCGCTGCCCGGGCAACATTCTCCTCATAGCACACTGTATGGCGTATGTCCGTCTTGACTAGACCAATCGGTCGGTGCAGAGAAATGAGATGTTAAGTCTCATTTCATCCCATTTTATTCACATATAGTACAGCCAATAAATCTTACATCAGCACAGAATTTAGCCTCGGTATCTTTGAATAGTTGAGAGTTAGGATTAGTTAGTTGTTGTGTCCAGTTGCCATCATACAAATAAAATGTATAGCTGTATAATAAACCGTCTGAAAAAAAATAATATTAAATATTTCAAATTATTTTTAGATAGTTAACGACGGGACTATATGGGTTCTTGTTTGTGCTCGTGAATAGGAATGTATGCAACAAAACAGCGGACTGTATGGCGTGGTTTCAACTCGGATATAGCGCGCCATAATACTGGTTTTGTACGACCATGAAAACGCCCGATGCAGTTACTCAGTGAGATGTCTTACCGGTCTGGACTTAAAGAAAGGTCTGGTGTGCTTCAGATAGAAGGGGTGGTGGTGGATGAGGGAGTAGGTGGACATGCCGGGGGGGGGGGTATCTAGCCCTACTGGGCTTAAGGAAAGACCTGATGTGCTTCAAACAAACAGGCCAACGCCGTTCATACATATATTGATTGGACATTGAACGTTTATTTTTGTATTACTCGAGAGTTTGATAAAATCGGAAGCTCTGAGAACATATTTCTGCCCTTTTAGGTGCATATATTATATGCAAGCCCATGGGATTAGGGTTGAGTGACGCCAAAATGGTGGCAATGTTTCGCATTTTGTGTATTCGACGTTATTTCAATGAATGTAGGATAAAATAAATAATACTCTGAGCGAGCAGTGGAGGGTCGGGATTCCCGGACCAGTCCCTACGCGCCTGTGTAACGGGGGTGACGTTTCATTTCTATATCCAATGGTGACGGAAGTGACCGAGTGACATCGATTACTTACCGTATTCGAAAGATGGCGGTGTAACAATATTATCAATAGATCCATGGTTGTGTATATGTGTTGTAAACCCCCTCGGGGCTAACGTTAAATCACCAATCAACAGGGCGAATAAATCATTAAAATTAACTCTCTTTGAACTCTCTATAATAATACCAATAACTCGAGTCTTCATCTCCTCGGGTTGTTGACCTCGGAAAGCCAAACTAAAGTTGACTCTCAGTGGGCCATCCCTACATAAAAAGAAAATAATAGTAACGACGTGTGTCGCATTTGCGAGGCAGATTATGATTAAGCTCTCCAGGGCACGTGATACTACTAATATTTATGATGCATCTTTTTATATGAAATAAGCCGGTTTTCATGTATTTAAAACCTTTGCATTGCGCTTGACCATGTTACAGGTGGCAAAAATATTCTAATTCTTAGAGCACAAGAGACGATTTTAGACATTCAAATACAAAACATTTTTTTAAAAAGATCGTCTCCTGTACATGTCAATGTTTTTGTTGAGGATATCAAATTGGTTTAATGGACAAGATTTTTCTCCATGCTCACGGTTATATCACCACTACAATAGCTGATCACCGCAATCATGCGGTCGCCATTTTACGGATATGCATATGTCTCAGCTACCACTTGATCGTTCAAAATGGCGATTCCTTCACTCTGTTATATTGTAGCCTCGATTATCAAATAATGACTACAGTGGGTCCAAGAGACTATTTATTGTGTGGAAGCCTTTCAGAGAAAACAGTCTGTGACCGCGTCCCACCTTTAGATCATTTAAAAAGTATCTATGTACCTTCCGAGAAATTAAGATTGGATTTATCTTGTGATATATGAAGAAAAAAACATGACGTTAGTATGAACGATAGTAGATGAAAACTTACACAAATGCATCTACTTCACATTTACTATAATCAGGGAACCTGAACGGATGGTTGACTAACATTTCACTGATCTGTAAAACAAGTAAACTCAAGTAAATCCTAATTATCCCTAAAATGACCCGTAAAGCGAAAACACCATCAATTAACTGTAGTAGGCCTAAATAACAATTATACGAATTTATAACAATAAGTGGTAATTTAAAAATATTGAAGCACCACATACTTGAAGCAAACGTGTACACGATAACGCATAGGCAAACATTCTATCTATGATGTATGCAAACATTATATATTTTAGCAGGTATTGCAATCCATACAACCACGGCTAAAGAATGAACACTATCTTACTATCCGTCTCAAGGGCGGCGAGAAAGAAATAGCATGCATCTTAGATAACGTGCATACCAGATGGATTTACTAAATT